CAAGGGCTCCAGCGGGTTAAGAGTCTGATGTGAGGGAGCCCAGGGATCCCTGAAGGATGGATAGACGGATGAGCAAAGTCAGAGTCAAACAAGCTGGGTTGGTACCTAGCAGGTCGGTGAGGTACAAGACGATAGGCAAAGAATAGTCGGGTCACACGCAGGGTCAATACCAAAAGATCAGATCTATAAGGGAACATCCAGGAGCAGAGTCAGGCAAGCCAAGGGGTCAGGACAGGAGAAGGCAACAAGGTCAGACAATCCAGATCAGAGTACTCACTACACAGGCAACAGGATACAAAGACCATTCAGCAACAATCGTCTGTGCAGGGCTGGTTTAAGTAGCCCGCCCTGCACCTGACAGGCGCCGCCTAGGTCCCAGTGCCTGCCTAGTACTGTCAAGACGACAGGTGCGCCTGGGTCCTAGTGCCCTGCTACCTGCACGTCTTGTAGACCCATGCGTCGTGATGGTCCCTGACAGTCTTCTTAGTATGGGGATACCACATGTGTGAGATTTTTTTTATAGCCTAGATGCATGGAGGGGCCCAAAATCCAAGGAACACCTTTAAACTGTCAAGGAGCATAAATTACACATAAATTATACATCTAATTTCCTAACTACCAATTATATTTTTTGGAGGCCCTGGAGGACCAAGACAGTGTAACCACCTACAAAATGACCCCATTACGGAAAGAAAATACTCCAAGGTATTTTCTGAGAGGCGTAATGAGTTTTTTGAAAATGTTTGTTTTTCCACAAGTGTTTGGAAAATGCATGAAAAAGTAAATGAAAATGTATTTTTATACTAAAGGTTATCAAAATACAGTATTACAGTTAGATAAAGCTAGATACAGTATTACAGTGTCTAACACACATTATAGGCATACTTATAATTACACCTTAAAACACATTTTTGCTACTCCTCCTAAGTATGGGGATATTACATGTGTGAGACTTTTTCACAGCCTAGTTGCACAGAGGGGTCCAAAATCTAAGGAGCACCTTCAGGCTTACTAGGGGCATTAATTATGCATCTAATCTCCTGAGTATGTACCACATTTTTAGAGGCCCCAGAGCACCAGAACAGTGGAAACACCCATAAAATGACCACATTTTGGAAACCAAATAAGCTATTTTCAAAGAGGCATTTTGAGTCTTTTGAAGGTTCATTTTTTTTTTCTACACAAAGTCGCAAGTTAATAAGATATTTCTCACATGCAGCATGGGCATACTTAGAACTACAACCCAAAACACATTCTGTTACTCCATGTGAGTATGGTGATACCACATGTGTGAGACTTTTTCAGTGCCTGGATTAATTATGTACCAGACATTGTAGCTTCTGTATTCACACAAATCAACCAATTGTATCAAAACCAATGTAATGTCACCTGTATATGAGTGGTACTGTAATAATTTCCTCTACTGTTTGAGTGGTCAGGGAATATAGCTCAGTGAAGCATCATTTATAGCAGTCTCTGTTGCTATAATCCAAGCGAGCCTAGCCTATTGGTATGTGGCTGCCCCCAGGAATGCCATGTGCACTGGCCAGGAATTACAGGAGGCTAAAGAAAGGAAGAACAAAAGAGTTCTTGTGGTTCCAGGAGTGAGTGAGCAAAATATCAGTCCAAGCAACAGGCAGAAACTTTTTCAATAAACAGGCCACTCAGGAACACGGATTCTAGCTACACTGGTCTGGTGACACTATGGTTGGTGTGGTGGTGATCAGAGAACTGGGTGCTCTATTAGGGCTCATTCACACATTAGGTTGAGTCAGTAAAACCTTGCAGTTGATACCCCCTGTACACCCACCAATTATGACACATTCAAGTGAGTAAGTCTGTTATTTTCCAACTTACTTTAATAGATTAAGCTGTCAAGGCGAAGTACAAGTTACAGGGTTGAGACAAACCATTTAACAATGACAGGAGTTCTTACAATGTTCAGCTTATATTCATTTTCATAAAACCTTTTATCCCCAAGCAAAAAAAAAAAAATATTTTTCCTGGAACTGCTTTTAAAGTGTTAGCTGGAGTTCATCTTCAATGTGTTAGTTGAATCCATCTAAATCTGCTAGTATAACACTATCCTCTCCCCAGACTGACAATGTTGCTGGGGAAAGGTGTCTGCTTTACTATTTCATCCAAAATGCAGACACCCTAAGACAGGAAGTGCAGTATTCTGTGCAGTATTTTTGCACAGAGCAGCCCCGATCCTTTTCTTTTTGGGTCCCATGCTGGCAGTCATTGCTTCTCCCCTACAAAGTGCCCCCAATAGCAAGCCTCTTGCTATGGGGGCACTCAAGCAGGCTCGCTCCTGAGCAGCGCTTCTGTGAATGGACATTGTCCATTCACACACGGAGCTTGGCTCAGCCCCACCCTTGCTCTCTTTTCATGGCTCACTGGCTGAGATTGACAGCAGCAGGAGCCCTCATGAGGAGCAGGCTCCATATGCTGTGTGGCCAATGAGGAGGCAGAGACCTGGGAGATCTCGGGAGCTCTCATTCACATTGCTGGATCAAGATAGGGCTCAGGTAAGTATAAGGTTGGGGAGCTGCACCCAGAATGTTTTTTAACCTTAATACATATAATGCATTAAGGTAATAAAAACCTTATTTTCACTTTAATTCAATATCAGGTGATTTTGCCTAGGTATTTCATAGTATTTTGCAACCTAAAATGACCCTGTACTGAAAGAAATATGTAGGTTGCTGTTGCTGACCTCCCTCTAAGAAATGTCATTAGTTTTGCCTTTTCTTGCCTCAATTTTTGAGTCACTGACAAGGTAAAAACTTAATTGTAAGTGGTATTTAACCAAAACGTGTACTATATTGAAACCTACCAATATTTGATGTGGTGGCTGCACTTTTTTTATTTAGGAGTTTTACATTTATTTTAGGAAGTATGCTTTACAATGGTTTAAAGTAGTTTAAGAATGTAAGATTTTGTATGGCTGTGTAACATCCTGAAACATTTGCATATTAATAATTTGGGTTGTTTATGTATGTTTAACTGTTGCCAAATAGGGCGATGTTTATCCAGCTTAATTGTTTCTTGTCACTATATAAACAAGATGTTTAACTCACATCAGAGGCCTCTGTGAAATATTGTGATAGTACAAACTAGACCTGGTGTACTAAACTACTAATTTGTGCTTTTCTGACACCACACTGTTCAGCAATTAAAACAAGAAAAAGCATAGTGAATGTTTAATATGAAATGTATTTATATCATTAGTGAATGGAAATGTGTTCACATTTATAGAGAAATTGTTACTCTAATGAATCTCCTGTTAATATAAGGATGCCATATACTAAATAGAGTATTTGGTATGTTTCCAGGGCTGGAATTCTGCATACGAGAGCAAATGAGACTTTTGAAGCTTAGGTTGAACAGCTCGCCTGCATGCCCATCAAGAGAAAATGCTATAAAACTGAAGCACCTTAACAGTAGTATGGCATACAAATAATATTTTTAAACTTGCTATTTTTATATACAAAATAAGTGCTCTCAGATGAAATCACTGACAAACCACAAACTGATATTTCAAGTTAGGTCTAAAACTGAAAAAATTATTGTTAAAAAAACAATGCTCCAGAAATAGGAAGTCATCCACCATCAACAATCGGATGATGAAAGAAAAAAAAATCAATCAACTTAGCTTAACAAATCATAAAGTTCTAAAGAGCATTGTGTTATACTGGCAATTACAGGACTTTGTAAATGAAAAAACTCCAAACATGGTTGATAGAGTTTATAAAGGATGTGTGCACATTAGCTGATAAATCCCTCAAGCGAAGACGTAGAGAGCAATAATAATTCATCACTCTATCAAAAACTAAGCAAAAGCTTTGTCTGGTGTAGAGCTTTAATACCCCTTACTGTGTGTTTGAAGACTCACTAAATTAGATTAAAAGTTATCTGTAGCATATACTATGCTGGTCATTTGATTTGGCTGTACCAAGTACATTGGTAGTTCAACTGAGCACAGAAAAAAAAAAAGTATGTGATGGTCATCAGTTTATTAGTCATACAAAACTAATGTACCCACAAATTTGAAAGAGAAAGTTAGGTTCATAACCTGCAGATAATAATGATAATAATAATAATAATAACAATAATAATAACTGTCACGGAGTGCCCGTGCCTTCCCCACCCCCCTTTGCCTGCTGTTCCTCGGCCATATCCCTCCACCCCTTTCTCCCCCCTTGCATATTCCTCTGTCCTTGTAGCTTCCATGAACGGTGCTGGGCCAGCCATTGCTGAGGCAACCCGGCAGCATCCCGCACGGCTTTTAAAAAGACTGGCACAGGAAGCAGCCCTCCTCTTTGTTCCTGTGCACGCTGCTGGAATCATCTATCTCCCTAAAAGCCGCTGGGAGGCTCAGGTGGGGGGGACCGAGCCTCTGCAGCCATCCCCGATGCGCACTCTGCAGACCCCCAAAAAGTCAGGACTGTAGCCCTGTGCAATACCCCCGGGTTGGGAGTACCCGCTGCCCTCCACTGAATGTCTCAGGGTGGGAGTCTCCGCAGCTCTGCATGAGCCCCCTCCACAAAGGTCAGACACCACAGCTGAAACCCTACCTGAGACCCTCCAGCTGAGAGGGCACTGCCTGCCAGCTACCTGAGACCCCCAAGCTAAGGGGAGACCGCCTGACCCTACCTAAGACCCTCCAGCTAAGGGGAAACTGCTTGCTAGCTACCTGAGACCCCCAAGCTAAGGGGAGACCGCCTGACCCTACCTGAGACCCTCCAGCTGAGGGGACACTGCCTGCCAGCTACCTGAGACCCCCCAAGCTAAGGGGAGACCACCTGACCCTACCTGAGACCCTCCAGCTGAGGGGTGAGTTGCCTGCCTGTTGCCCGAAGCCCTTGTCCAGGGGTAGGTTGCCCGCCTGTTTTGCCGAGACCCCTGCCCAGGGGTAGGTTGCCCGCCTGTTGCCTGAGACCCCAGTCCAGGGGTAATTTGCCCACCTGTTGCCCGAGACCCCTGCCCAGGGGTAGATTGCTGGCTGTTGCTCGAGACCCCTATCCAGGGGTAGGTTGCCCGCCTGTTGCCTGAGACCCCAGCCCAGGGGTAGATTGACACCTGTTGCCCGAGATTCCAGTCCAGGGGTAGGTTGCCCGCCTGTTGCCCGAGACCCCTGTCCAGGGGTAGGTTGCCCGCCTGTTGTCCGAGACCCCTGCCCAGGGGTAGGTCGCCTGCCTGTTGCCCGAGACCCCTGCCCAGGGGTAGGTCGCCTGCCTGTTGCCCGAGACCCCTGCCCAGGGGTAGGTTGCCCGCCTGTTGCCAGAAGACCCCAGCCCACGGGTAGATTGCTGCCTGTTGGCCGAGACCCCAGTCCAGGGGTAGGTTGCCGCCTGTTTCCCGAGACTCCAATCCGCTGTGCAGTCATGAAGGGAGCCCAGCTGAGGAGGGGCCAGGCTCTGCCTGGGACCCCCCAAGCCTAGAGGGGAGATTGCCCGCCTGTTGTCTGAGACCCCTGCCCAGGGGTAGGTTGCCCGCCTGTTTCCCGAGACTCCTGCCCAGGGGTAGATTGCCCACCTGTTGCCCGAGACCCCAGTCCACTGTTCAGACCCCAGTCCACGGTCACGGGAGCCCAGCTGCAGCGGGACCCTCGTGACCGGGCTCTGCCTGGGACCCCCCAAGCCTAGGGGGGAGAGCGCCTGCCTGCTGCCCGACACAAGTCCAGGGGTAGATCGCCTGCCTGCTGCCCGAGATCCCAGTCCAGGGTGGGTTGCCTGCCTGTTGCCGGAGACCCCAGCCCGGGGGAAAGATTGTTCGCCTGCTGCCGAAGACACCAGTCCAAAGGGGGGGGAAGACCGCACAAGCCACCCTGCCGGAGACCCCGCGTCTGTCCCGGACCTCCAACAGGTATCTGTGTCTTACTTTCTTATCCCTGGGGGACCAGACAGCCTGTTGGATCCGTGGGCACATGCTTTCCCCTGGTTTACCTGAACTGCTGCTGGGACGATCCCCTGTTTTACCCGAACTGTTCCTATGATGACCCTTGCCCCTTGTGAGATTACAATCTGCCACAGAGACTGTTCCTTTGCCCTTGGTGCTGGACTACAGGTATCTTAGCCCCTCCTCGCTATCACCCCCCTATTGGCAAGACCCCCCGTGCCAGGAATCGTCCCTAGTTTGCGCACAGATCACCCTTCCCTGCCATTTCCCCATTGAGTGACTGTCATTTTGTTGTCTCAATAAAGCTTTGTGTGTTCTCCATCTTCTCTGTGTGTTCTGTCCTGCCTACGCTTCTGTCACAATAACAAATTAATAAGTAAATGAATTATTATACAAACCTATATCTACTACTTTTCCTTAGACACAGTAAATCTGGAAAAACTGAATCCATTGCTTTTAACCCCTCCCCCCCCATGAGATTTACTAACAAGCAAAGGACAATAATACTATGACTATGTATAAATGAATCAATCATTCTGTGATGGCTAGCTTCATTCAAGCTACATCCTTTGAGCCCAGTCTATATTGTACTTACTCCTTGTGGCATCATCAAGCAGCCTGAGTTTGGAGTTTTACTACATTGAAGAGTGCTGACATATCATTGCCTGAGCAAAGTTCATTGCAGCAGTAAGGACTGACCACCACCACTGGAGAAAAAGAGTAAGGACCTGTGACATTAGTGGACTGTCCAGTACAGGGGACCTTGGGTGGAATCTTTTATTTAATGGAGCTGCGCATTATTTCATGTACCAGATCACTATGCTTTTTAACATAGGCTCATAATTATAATATTGCTGAAGTCAGAATCATTTTAAGAGCAGTGACTTTTACTCTTTTACATGTTAAAAACAATTGATATATTATTAGAGTGACCAGGTATAAACCTTTAAAGGCTAAACTCAGGTTGGTTGCTGGGGTAACTGCATATTATTTTTATATACACTGTTTTCAAATAAAAGCTCAATCTACTGGCCATCATAGGATATTAGGGAATTATAATTCAGATCATATTTTACAGTAACACATCTCTTTTTGTTTAGCTGTAAGTAATAAATGTGCATTCTGAATAGCCATTCATAGAAATAACCAGGAGAGTAAATTCATTAACTGCAAATAGCTGGGTGAAACAAAAAAATCTCTCTATGCATGTCACGTCAGAGAAACATAGATTACGGATTGGGAAGGGAATTCAGCAAGTTTGCATCAAGAAATCAGACTGTAAAAAAAATTGATTAATTATATTTCCTTGAAGAAATATTAGTTCCTTTACATATTTGATTCATTGAACTGGTGGATTTGGTCACATAGCTACACAAAGATATTTGCAATATATTTCCCTTTAGATCTGTCAGAAAAGACTACATTCTTAGTGAAAATTGGATGTAGAGACAATGTTTACAGTGATTTGTTTTCCATTGGATTGAGATGCAGATATGTAAATCCTGAATTATTTTTTCCTTCCCATTTCCAAATCACATTCTAATATGGTTTACTCCTTCTTTCTCTCTCTTAGATGACTAACATCATTCAATCCAAAAAACTTAAAATTCATTTTATTGATATGCAACAGTATACTGAATTACTCCACTTCCCTTGTTTTTATTTTATTTCTAATGTAATAACCTGGCCATATAAAATTAAAACTGTTATATATGTTATATCTCCCTAATGGTGGCAACACAAGCATCAATTTATTCATTCAGGTGATAATTAGGTGGAGGTAAACTAATGAAATCAAAATAAAACCACATACCAGAAACCCATCATTTTGTTTCAACTTATTAGGGTAAGTCAGTTATGGCATAATTTTCTTAAATTTCTGAGCACCCATAAAAATGTGCTGGAGGGTCTCATCATAATCAGAGAAACAGATCAGTTTTATGATAGGTTTTATTGGATCATTTACAACTTATTGCTCATATTTTTGATCAATATGTTCTTGAGGGTTAAAAAAATCTTCTTTCAACTATATTGGACCTGTTCTAAAGCAAAAAACAGCCCTTCATGAGAGCAAACATTAGATACTGAGGAATGGAGATGGATCTTTCATACACTCTAAGGTATTTCCACCATTTTGTGGTCAGTTTAGATTTGTTTAAGGAATAAAGATGGACTTTCCATACATTATACATTATATTATCGCAAACCCATACATAGGGAATGGAGATGGACTTTTCATGTACAGTCCTTGTGCAATATCTACACCTCCCATGCTGGGTCCCCTAGATGTTTTATTAAGAAATGGAGCTGGGCTTTAAATGCCATGTCTTTTCCATACCTCAACTACTATGCCCTATACTACCCCCACGCACAGGGGAATATAAGAATACTTTTTCCAATTAATGGCCATAGAAGCAGTGGAAGTATATGAGGGTGTTCCTGGGCACTTGAAGCCAGTAGAAGGGACTGTAGAAAAATAGGAAGATGCATGCCTGCCCTGTGCACTCATGCTATTTTGTTACTTCAACTGCAGCTTGTGAGTCTGATTCATGTTTTGAAATTAGATTCTGAAGTGAAACTCAAGGTGCCCTCTGCTAAGAGAATTAGAATATTGCCACAGACTCATTTTCAGGCCTGCCTGGCAGAAGAAAAATTCACACATAGTTGAAATGAGTAGCATTACCCTGGCTGTTTTGATAGGCATGAAGGAAAAAAAAAACGCAGATGCAAAGAAATCTAAATGCAATGAACTAAACTACTCTAAATATACACAAAAATCCCACAACCTCTAAAACATAACAAAGTTACTAAAAAAAATGAAAAGGAAGAACACAAAGGCATCACTCTGTGGTTCCCAATAAAATTCACAACACAGCTATATCAAACAAAAGATAGACCTTTGCCTCACAATCTAACCATTTCCACCTAACTTGATAAGGAAATTAATTTTTTAACCTATCATAACAGCTTAAAAACTAACTTCATATTGATCAAATGTGGTTCATGAAACCACTTGTGATCCTTGCTGCTGAATTTACAATTCAGCAGCACCAAAGATTTGTCATTTTGCCAAGATCAGTGAGTCATTGTGTTGATGGGTTAACATAGTCCAGTGTTGCTCACCATGGTTGATGTGGATTTACATCACAATTGATGTGAATCTACATCACTGGATGATGTGATTGACATTGACATACCCACAGTGTGGGTGTTTCTATTTACTATTTACATTTTTTGTGAATGACTAGCAAGGGGTACTATGTACCTGTTACCCAACCACGTGGGCTCTGGATATTTGGGTCTAAGGTATCCAGATTCGGATAAGTCTCCCCCACAGACTCCCACTTCCTTTTTGTAGAAAATGTGGTCATTGCATGTGTGTTCTTCCAGTCCTGGCACTTCCAGGCCTCAAGAACTATGATAAGCAGTGAGACAAAAAAATGTATGTTCCTTAAAAGCCCGATGGTGCTTTTTTTTCGTAAAAGACATGTAGCAAAATACATGTTGTCCTATAATTAAAGTGTAACTTTACCCATAACAACTTGATAAAAAAAATAATCTTCTTTAGCAAGGAACATACATTCCATATTAATAATTATGCTACCAAAATTAGTGTGTGCTGTAATTTGCCTCCAGCATTATTCCTGTTTCTTCTTGCTGGAGGCTGACATTTTGCTGAAGCCCAGAGCACCTCAGCAGTAGTAACTCTTTAGTCTGTCATCAGATCAGCCTCTACATTTTTGGAACAGTGCTCAAAAATAGAGAGCAACTGTACATGTGTAGATCAAGGTGAGACAGTGTAATACTGGATTTTAAACAGTATAGACCCTTATTTTTAAAGTTTTCCATAGCTATACCTGCAAACGGGGCCACCATGAAGTGACCCAGCAGGAATTAATTTTCTGACTAAAGTTCCACTTTAGAAGAAAGATTATTTATTTTCAAAGTTTTAAAACAGAAACGAAAGGGAAACATCTTTTTTTTTTTCAAAATGTTCTTTTCTTTTTCTTGCATATACAATAGTAAAAAAAAATAAAAACCTAGTTTTGATTAAATACCATAAAAAAGCTCTGTCTGTCTCAGAAAAATTATGTGAAATTCACTTGGATGCAGTGTTGCATGCCAATAAGTAAATGTTTAGAAAGTGTCACATTAACTTTCCCAAAACAGAACCACAATTTCCACTTCTGAGCTGGACTATAACCAAATAATTTCTGGTCATACTATGCAAAAGTGGTTCGCCTTTTTTGGCAAAGATAAAAGCCTTTTTTGCATGTAAGTGCATTTTACTTTGTATATACAGTGAATACTCTGTTGTTCTTTTTGTGTTTCCCTTGAGTTTGTCTAAGTGGTTTTATCCTGGAAGCTTCGACATTTTTACCTCCACTGGAGGAATGATAACTTATATTCAGGCTCTAAAACGGATATGCCTGAAAGACCTTGTTGCTGAAAGGGTATTTCTTTCAGGTGATAGTATCCTCATATGAGTGGTGGTGGAACATTATTTTTTTTTTTTAAGTCTTTCACATATTCATGGCTATGTTTGGACACTGCATTTTGGAGTCTATATGAATTTTTGGCATAAGATTGTTGGACATAAACACA